CTTGTTTCAAAATAGCAATAATCTATATACATATATAATGTATAATAATTGAAATTTAACTGTATTTTACAAAATACTAGTCTGCTAAAACACAGCTAAGACAAGTTACTTTGAACAGACCAAAGGTCAGTTTTGTGTTATTTGATATGGTAACATGAGTGCACGTGAGCCGCGTCATTGTAACTTTTGTATTACTAGCCAGGCACAGCTGAAAGGTGAATATAATAAAAAGAATAAATATATATAAATGTATAATGTTATGAGATTTAAGCTATTTAGTCTAAACGTTTATGTTTTTAGGTTATAATTTGTGTTCATTCTAGAATGAAAGAGGCATAATTTATATTTATTTCCTAATTTTTTATGGTGGTTGCGAGATTGAATCCATACAGAGATTAATTACTGAAAATAACAGATAAAATATAAAGTTTTTTCTTAAGAAACGTTTGATAACTATCTGGATGATTATAAAGATTTTGCATGTAAAATTTCAAAATTTTCTGATGTGTAAAAGTATTTTTAATCTTCAAATGAATATTACTTCACATGATAGATAGGCAACATGCAAAAAGAAAAAAAAAGGCATGAGAAAAACATTACCTTATAAACCTTAAGACTTAATAAAAAAATTTATATTTTGCATATGAAAGCATTGTAATGTGTACTGATGATCTGTCAAATGTCGTTAACATTCGCTTCCTAATTTAAAAGTTATAGCATGAAAACTATAACAAGCACAAAATGGTTACGTGGTTGGTCCCAGGGACTGAGCCCTTACTGAAAGAGTAAATGAAGACATCATGTTTACCTAATAGCTGATAGTTTAATGCTTTGGATATCTGAGTAATATATTCAGAAAATTTGTTGTTTCTCAAGTAACAAACAAACTGCTAGGGACAAGAATGAATAAAGACTGAAGTTAAAGATGATCACGCACAGCTTGCAGAATTGGATTAATGGTTTTGGTATTGTTTTGAAACTATGAGGTTTCAAATCATGATGTACTATTAACTATTATAGAGATTATGTACAGCAAATATGGTTGAGTATATGGGTGATGTTTTAGTATTTCTCATTGTGTCTAAGACTAAATCCAGAATGGAAAAATAATAATAGGAGTAGGTTTACTTGGTACCAGTTTTATTAAATGTAGTAAGTAACTTTATGTAAGTACAAAATGAAAATCTTGATGTTTGAGTGGTGTTATTCCATAATGCAATATCACTGTCTGTGACTATGTGTCTGTACCAGTTAACAAAGCATAAGCCTCTACGAGTACGACAGTACATCATGATGGCATAGGATTATATTCCAAATGTGAATAATGTGAATGTTTTTTGAGCAGGTCTGATTCCATACATGAAGTGTCCTCTATGTGTAATTAGAATTTACAACTTAGTTATTTGTGTGTATAATCTGGTGATCTTGTGAGCAAACAAAACTTCCATAAAATATTTTTAGTAATGTGGTTAATTGATCACAATAATTCAAAGATTTCAATTATTTTGATATAGATGAACTTGATATGCACTGTTTCAAAGCACTAGTGAAGATAACACAATGTGTTCTGGGTCAGTAAATGATTTCATAAACATGTGTATTTGTTTTAGTTATTGGAAATATAAGTATTACCATAGTGCATAGTTATCGGATGAAAGTTGTGTACTTTGTTGTGCATATATGAACATCAGAAAAATTACTTTAACCCTCTCACCATGGCCATCCTTTTCTGTACATGTCATGAGATTTTTAGTGGATTATATTCAAAATGTAATTAAACTACTTTTTATTTGTTATATCAATTAGAATAGCATAACATCATAGCTAATAATCCACATTTTAATAGCATATAAATTTTAAGTTCTTAATTTTATAAGGCAATATAAAAAATCCAGAATTTCCCCTTATGTGAGAAATAGGACATTTTTTCTCTAGGCATCCCCTTTTCTCTAATTTATTCACCAATATGTACAAATTTTAATGTAAATTACTCACTATAATATCATCATTGCTCAGACAAACCATAATTTTTATAGCCTTCAATCTTGTTTGGTGACAGAGCTATCAAATAGAAAATCAGACCTCTTGCCGCACTCGCCTGTTACATCCTCTCTTTCAGGATTTGTCAATAGTTCTCTCTTACATTTAATACTATATTATTTATAACTGATAGAAAGCCAAGGTTTTCATTTATTAAATGACATATTATATTTTATTGTTTTGTGTACAGAGAATTCTCAGTTTTTCTTTCGGTACAAGCTTCGTTACCACAGGAAAGATAACAATTAGCTTGGATGAATTTGTAACAGCTCTTATCGCATAGTTAGAAAGCCAGAAAAATTGTGATAGTTATGGGACATTGTCTGCTTTTTGAATGTTGTTATTCAGTGTTGTTTGTTACATTATTTAATTAAATAAAACGTATTTAGTGCACTACTACCATTAGTATGAAAAAAAGTAGGGTTAAGTGTGATTGACAGTTGACAACAACAAAAAAAAAAGAATACCCAGATAAGTACTTTATTTCTTGTTTTTATGTGTATTCTTTACTTATTATTATAAAATTAACTAAAATGTAAAAATAGGAAACTTTAGGTTAGATTAGGTAAAATAAATAATGATAATATAATAAAAACTTTTCATAAGGCATGCACCTGAGCATCTCGGAGTAGCTTCTAGGTAATGTAATTTGATAACATAACGTCAGCTGCAAATTGTCCAAGTGATTTTCAACTTATAATGGAGTGAACTGTGATTAGACACAGTTCAAAGGGCAATAAAACAATACAATTTTAACTATGAATAGATATCTACTGTTATGAGTTTAAAACAATTTGGAATAAACAAATGTAGTTTCATGTGACAATTTCAAGTCATTCTAGAAATAAAAAAAGTGTAATTTAGATTTATTTTTACTTTTTTATTTTTTTGGTGGTTACGAGGTTGTTCAAATTGACCAACCTTGTATAGAGTTTGGGTAGAGAAAATGACAAATAAAATATAAAATTTTGCCAAAAAAAAAGTTTAAAATGTATTTAGGAGGTTTTAGAGATTATGCAACTGAAACTTGAGATTTTTGAAATGAAGAAAAGTACTTTTTATCTTAACATGAAAATGACTTTGCACTCAAACTTGTAAAAAAAAGTCTATATGTTTATGGACAAAAATTTTTTTTAGTTTATTAAAAATACTACATTAAAAATCAAATTTTTTGTATGTAAAAGACTTGTAATGTTTACTAGAAGTATGACAAATTTTGTGAAGATACAAATATTATATTAAAAGATAGTAGAATCAGAACTATAATGACTTTATGCTAGTACAAAATGGTTATGTGGTCAGTCAATTTGACCGAGCACGTGTAAAGAGAGTTATATATGTATTTAACATATTTTAAAACAGTAAATATGATTTTTCCATTGTTAAAAGTGTTAAAATCTTTAGTTTTGCATTTACTGTAATAACCGTTTCATGATATATATAAAAATATATAATTGGTATGCATTTTCATAAACAATTGAATAAACTACCTTTGTTGTGTATGTTCTGATAAAGTATCACCACTATGTGACTCTTAACAAACAGCCTCTCTCACATTTATTGTACAATACATGTACTATGTTTTACAGTTTCATGTATTATAGTTCAATGATATTAGGTCATCAAGAAAATAATGTCGCGTTTTGGAACACATTTATTAACCACCCCCCCAAAAACATACATCACGTATCGTAGTTAAACGAACTGCTTAAATGTCACGTT